AGGAGCCAACCAGAGTGCCTCTCCCCTCCCCACCTCTCCCACTGCCTCTTTACTTCCTGTCTGCGGCCATAGAGCTTTTTCTAGAATGTGAATCTGACAAAGACAGGTGCTCTCCAGAGCCCTTACCCATTGCCGGCTCCTGGTTATCTGCTCCACGGCCTCCTCACTGTCTTTGTCTGCGATCCCACCCCAGCCCAGGAACCCCAGCTCCCCGAGGCCGGGCGACAGGGACAGAGGTTTGGGTGGGGTCCTCGTTCACTTTGTTCATGGTCCTCTTTGACACCCTTGGGGGTGATGGTTTTAATACTTTTTTTTTTAAGTTTCAATTTTCAGAGCACTTTGAGGTTTGCTGGGGAATGTCTTGGAGTTTTCCCCATAGAGCCCCTACTTCCCCCTTCAGGGTTCTCTTGTGGGTGACAGTTCGCCTTGTGCAGCTTTGTTACAATGTGTTTGCTACATTGTGTTTGTTACTGTGGATGATGTTTGTTACAGTGTGTTTGCTACAGAGAATAATGTCTTTGATCCAATGTGTTTGTTCTGATGGATAATGTGTTCGATAGTTAGGTTTATTGTGCCAACTAGGCTCCCGTGGGAACATGTTGTCAGGGTTTAATCAGGCCTCACCTTGGGTGACCAAGATAAATGGCTCTCTGAGGCCAGCCCCCTTCTCCCTTTCTCCCTGGTGACCATACCAATGCACTGCTGCCTGAGCTTGTCCTTTGCCTCAACGGTGTGCTGAGCTACCTGTGGGGCGAGCCAACCTGTGAATCGCATCGCTAGAGTTTGAGGCGCCTTTAGGACTTGCTTCTCCACGCTACTGGTGGATCCTGTGCCTCCATCGGGACCTGCTCCCTCCTGGCCACGGATCCACCCCCACTTCCCACTCTCCTGCCCTTGCTGCCCCACCCTGCTGCGTCTGCTGCCCTCGGGTCACCTGCTCCTCTTGCCCGAGGGCAGATCCTGCTGGCTGCTTCTTTCACTTTGGACCAGCGGCCAGTGTGAGTTCAGGGACCTTTGGTATCTTAACGAATCCACGAAAGTGAGTTGAACTGAGCCCTCTGTAGTGCTGTGTGGACTAGTTACCTATTGTATTCCTCCTTGCTACGTAAACCTATCCTTTTATAGAAATTATATATACACATAATCATAGTGTCCTGGTTTTGTTTCTCTAGAGGACCTTGCCCAACACACTGTGTTTGTTACAATGTGTTTGTTGCAACGTGTTAGTTACAATGGATAATGTGTGGGTTACAATGTGTTACGATGTGTTTGTTCCCATGGATTCTGTGTTACAATGTGTGTGTTACAATGGACAAACACAAACTGAAATCTTGTCCATTCCCCTCCATGGTTCCCCAAGGGCTCACCCTGGTGTTGCCTTGTTCTGACCTATAATGTCATGGGTCCCCTACCAAGTTCCCACAGCAGAGTTTCGCGGCCCCAATCCCCCGGCTTCCTCTCTTCTTCTCCGACAACCAGTGCTCCTGGGAACCACCCACCTTCTCACTGTGGCTGTGGTCTGGCCTTTTCCAGAACGTTCTGTACTGAGAACCACATAGCTTGGAGCTTCCCCAGGCTGGCTTCTTGGGTGGGCTTTCTTTATCATTCATTTTCCCATGATCCTCCTTGACTGAATCCTTTCCTCCCTCCCTCCCTCCTCACCCATCCATCCGTCCGTCCGTCCGTCCATCCATTCATCCATCCATCCATCCGT